CCACCACCGCCGTCAACGTCCACCACCACCCACCACCACCACCACAATCGTCCATACACCACCACTGTACACTACCACCATTAATTTATATAGCAGTATACAAACATTAAAAAACAAACAGTCTTCTTCTTGCACATCGCAGACCTTTGGTCCACCACTTCTCCTGCAGATGTCTACAGTAGTGGTCCGCAGACTGCAGACCTTTTCCTGCAGAAAAAACAAACACCCCCTAAGACTTTGTTTTTTTGAATTGGAGAAATTAACTTCCAACGTTTTTCAATTCCTTTCAGTTCCTTTCAACTCTTTTCACTTTTTTCCAATAATGACTTAAAACGGTATTTATATACTCCCTCTGTCCCAAATTTCATTACAACTGGGATTTAGAGGCAGAATTTTCCATCTTTTGAAATCATTTTATTTATAAATTGATATATGGATAAAACTAAAAATTACATATTATAATAGGTTATTGTCAAATACTCCCTCCCTCCATTCATTTTCTCATCACTTTCTTTTTTTTGGTTGCCAATTTTTTTCCTATTTCCTATTTTGGCAAAAGACTTTTAATGAATGTGTCATTGTACCACTATTTTATCTCTACACTATTTATTTTATTCCATCACATCAAGGATAATACATGGAAAGTTTTTACACTTTTAAATTTTTCTTAATCTCCATGCCAAGTCAAATCGGGAAAAAAATTTTCACACGGAAGGAGTATAATAATTTTATATTGGATTGTAGATTATTCAAATAAAATATGCAAAATTAAGAAAATATTAAAATGATTTGAAAATTTGAACCCTCACTTCCTCATCTGACATTCGTAACAATGTACTTATGTTAGATTATTAAATTCGGAGATGAGAAAGTGAAAGTTCAAATTATTAATTAAATCAAATATAGTGACCATTACTTCAACCTCTAGTCGTTTTGTTGAGGTTTCCTTATGGGTGATTCTCGAATGTGGGAATGATTGTTGAAACAAAGCCATTTCCATCGCCAGTTCCTCGTGCATTTATTTGCAAATTGCAATCCTTTAATATAATAAAGGAGACTCGGATGCACAGAAATTCGACATTTGGCATGTCTATGTGGCAAAATTTAAACATGTCAGCATGCCACGTAATATCTGAGTAAACCAGTGGAAATAAATTATATAGGAATGTATACGATGCACCAACGTATCTTCCGTTGAAAACAATTGACCGTAGATTTTCTACGCGATAATCACTGGCCTTCAACGAAATTCTTTGCTTCAGATTACAACAATACGAACTCTTATTATGATGATAATATAAAATAATTAAAAATAAATATGAAAAAAATATAAATACTATTAAAAAATAAATATAATATTTTTCATTTAATTTAAATAGAATTTTAGGACCATGCTACATATATTAATCCTTTATCTTACTTCCATATTTAAAAATTACATACTTAAATTTATAAGTTACAAAGGTTTATTGTGGAAATTTTTGTATAATAAGAGTTAAAATCAATAGAGTACCTATATTGATGGAAATCAGAATATTATTCTTTACAAAAAAGATTATTAAGAAACAATCCTAAATAATACTAATTTTGAAAATGATGATCACGGGTATATTACTCATCACCTTACTTATATTATGTATGTTGGATAATGCTAATATTATTTTGGATCCGTTTACTTATATATGAAAATCCTTAATTATGTGTCTTGAGAAAAGGGGTACCGATTATGCTATTGAAGAACATTGACCGAACATCTGAATTGTGTAATGGGACAAGATTAATCGTTCAAGAGCTGCGAAATAATGTTAACGGTGCAATTGTGGTTTCGGGAAATCGAGTTGAGGAAAAAGTTTATGTTGGGTTAAGGAACCCGGGGCCTAGGAGACAAGACAAAAGAATATCGAACTGAGTTGAGAACGCACAAGTTGGGAATCAAGTAAGATCGTAAAAATTAGCGTGCAAGACAACATGTCTCCCTTTCTCTAGAGAAAGGACTTATATACAAACTACAAATGGGGGGTTCCCGATCCGTTGGTTCAGAGTCCAACAGATCGGGCCCACTAAGATTTGGCCGTTTAACTAGCGGCGCCAACCACATCATTATCCCTAAGGAGGCTATACAAGATAGGTTACAAGTAGGGTGGCTAAAACTACTCTGACGGAGGCGTGGCAGGGGTCCAATCGTGGGCCCCGTGATTTGTCTGGTCAGACAGCTTCCATGCCCGTGGTCCCGGTCCTGTAGCATCCCAGGCCGAGGCCGGGCACATGTGATCTGCTTCCTGAAGTCCTTCGGTGAAGGGCCGGCTGAGGTGGTCCGAGGCTGAGCGCGTCTGCCGGGGCCGAGTGCATACAAATCTTGACGTGGCAGTGGCCCTCTTGAGACTTCAGTCTCTCTTCAGTTCCGCCCAGCTGAGTGGGCCTGAGCCTGGCTGGGTTGGGCCGCTATTTCCATTGGGTCGGATACCCCCATTCCAGGATATCCATCAGTTTACATCCCTAGAATGAATTTGGTACCATCTGATTCAGGGCTACCCTTAAAGTTCCAAAGAAGACAATTCTCGATCGCCTCATATTTTGCTATGACTATCAACAAAAGTCAAGGTCAAACATTGTCATTTGTGAGATTATTTTTAACCAAGTCAGTGTTCAAACATAGTCAATTATATTTTGCTGTTTCACGAGTGAAGACAAAGACAAGATTAAAAATATTAGTTCTAGATGACAATGGAAACCCTTGCAACTATACCAAAAATGTTGTATATTCTGAAATCTTTCAGAAAATTTAGTATTGAAATAAACATTGTTAACTCTATATTCTGTTCCTCAAATATTATTTATTTTACTTTGGCTTTTTTCATTTGTAGTCTTAAAAATCATGTGAGCAATATATTTTCCTTATTCCAAAAAATAAATTTCACTGAAATAATTTAGAATCTACATAAATTTCTTTTGACCCCGTGCATGGCACGGGTCAGAAGACTAGTACGTTATATATGTTTGGCCTTTTCATGTTCTTATTTGTTTGCAGTTTTTGGTGTGTTATGTTATGATTCCTTGGAATCTTTGTCAAATCGGACATTTTATGAAAATTCTGCTTCAAAATTTCCAGGTTGATTGGTACTTATTAGGTTGTGGAATGTGCTCCATAATCGTCAATTAATATTGATTGGTACTAATTAGCTTGACAGAGAAGTTTAGAGCCAAAAATGTGTTAAAATAAAATAATACATCATATGTTCTACTCCCTCTGTTCCATATAATCCTTCCTCTTTCGTTTTTTTTTTCAATTCTTTAAAACACTTCCATTTTCTATTAAAAAACCACTTTTACCCCTACTTTTTTTATCACCTACCTATCACATCTGATGGTGTAAATTACCTAACCGGGTAAACTATACTAGACCGGGTCTAGAATCGCTTACTTGATTCGGAAAGTAAAAAGGTAAAAACACGTAAAGTGACCGGGAGGACTGTAGGTGGAAACACATGTAGCCCAATTGATATTATAAATATAGGAGAATGCACGGGAGCTTTTACAAGGGAGTTTAGAGAGAATGAATTCGGATCCCTTCCTTTGAAGGTTACAGGAGTATATATACTGAGTGTGAAGGGGACAGGACGTCGTGCACCCACGTTGAGGCACGTTCTCGGATGGTGGGAGGTGATGACCTTTGTCCTTTAGCTGCCTTGTCTTGTTGCGAGGAAGATTACTCCCTTGTCAGGTAGCGCCTTGGATGTAATGTTCGGACATCTCCAGTGATTCTCCACTGATCTTGGCCGCACCGGTCCAAACCACTTTGGATTCTTCTCTGCCGACACTCTCCAACCTCAGAAACCGTACCGGGTAGTTCCTAAGGGATGGATTAATTGAGATTGAGGGATGAATTAGACGATGAAGTGGTTTGACCGGTATACTATCCGAAGTATACCGGTCAACTTTCTGATCAAACAATTATCCTTTTACTGACGATTAAGATCTTCTCTCAAGAATAATCAATTTGACCGGTCAAACATTCAGACATTTCCTTTGACCGGTTCTGGGTGGATTACACCCATCAACATCATATTTTTTCACTAATAACCAAACTATCACATCTTACTTTTACCCATCACATCAGGGACAAAATTGAAAAGTCTACCAAAATTACATTTTCCTTATTTTGGCCTAAAGTCAAAATAGGAATGATTTTAAGGAAGAGAGGGAGTATTACATATTTGCTCTAAACTACTCTGCAAACTCATGCAAACTCATGCGTAG